GCATCTGCCGGCAAAATCCTGGCAAGGGCGCGATGGCAATCGAAGACTGCAGCAACCAAGCTGCGCAAGGCCGTGTCCTTGAGCCAATCATGAACGATGGGGCAGCGTTTCAGAACTCGGAGTCATATGCGCAGCCCCAAAGTCAAAGTCCATTACCAATGTCGGGCGCAACATGCATATGCAGCCATATGCATGCTTTGGCATGGGGATTGCTTATGTTGTGCTGGCTTGCCGGATTGGATGTGTCTGACTTGCTCTGTTCAGGGTTTGGGATTCGAGGCTGAGCCCAAAGGACAGGGCGGACAGGGTTAGGATTCTGCCAAACTTGCCATGAGCAGTCCGGGCTCCAAGCTTCGTCTAAGAGCCCGGAAAGATTCGGGTTGCCCCCCCGACCCCAACGTGAAACATACGTCGGCAGCTTTGGCTTTTGGTTTCCCTCGCAACTCTGGAGCGTGTCCCGAGATGCCTCTGCCTGCACGACACGCTTCTGTTCCAGAACCTCCGCTGGCACCCGAGGCGAACATGCTGTGGTGCACTGGTCGAGAATGGTCGTTTTTTTCAGAAGTCCCCGACTCAACTCCGATCCTGAAGGCGGCTTGGGAAACTTCCGGCCCAGGCCTCGTTGGGGGAAGCAGAGGCAGAGCTTCGCATGTGTGCTATTGTGTGCTCCTGGACTCTTCCGACTCTTCCTGAGAAGCCAGTTCGAACTTCACCGTCTTAGTCCAAGGCAGCTCTGGGGAGGCAATCGACGCTGAGAGTGCCTTGGGCGGCAGTTCCTTAAGTCGGTCTGAGACCTCCGCACTCAGTGTCTTCGCACTCCAGGTGCGACGGAAGCCGTTCCGAGCAGGTGGCCACAGCACGATGACAGGCGGGTGCAGGGGCGAGTCTTTGCCTCGAGTTTGCTGAATATGTGAGTCGTTTCCGATGGTGGCACTTCAGCCTTAAGCACATGTCTGCACCTTCTGGCCAGAGCTGACATGTCGGTTGGGCCATGCCCGGCAGACAACGTCCGGTCAGGCCGCTGCCAGACGACGAAGGCCGCACACGAGTTGGAGGATGTTAGGACCAGTCACACGCATTAATCGGTCGGAAGCTGCAATAACTTGCAGCTCCTGCGTCGGAGCCCAGATGGTAGTGCTGGGGGATGTGGGAGCTCTTGTCGAGAGCCAACCACTGACCATGCCGAATCCTTGCGAGGGGCTGCTCCGACCCAGCGTGGCACCAGGCTGGCGCCCTAGTGGTTTAGGATTGAGGGTAGTTTAGTGCTTAAAAGTCTTGATTTTGAGTGTGGATCGAATCTAGATTTCGGGGTTTAGGGTTCAACGTGAACGGCAGACAGTGCCAATCGTTTCGTTCGTGGCAATAGCAGTTTTCGTTCAGAGTGCAGGGACGAAGTATTGGAATTAGGACACAACACCGGGGTGATAAGAAAAGTATCTCGACAAGAAGCGCCACCTGCATCTTGATCATGACCGGAACGGACACCCGAACAAGAGCAAGACCAATGAGAGTGGCAGTGCCTCGTACTTATCCCAAGCACCCCTGGGCCCGCGTAAGAAAAGCAATTCCTTTGGGACCAACATCTGCCGGCAAAATGCTGGCAAGGGCGCGATGGCAATCGAAGACTGCAGCAACCAAGCTTCGCAAGGCCGTGTTCTGGAGCCAATAATGAACGAAGGAGCAGCGGCGTTTCAGAACTCGGAGTCACATGTGGTTTGGAGCTGGGCCGAGGACGGAGGTTGAGACAGGGCTTCGCGCACGCTAAGTTCCAAACTAGTTGAAGTCCCTCGGAAGGTCGAGAAAGCTTTCAAGCAGTTGAAGTCCGAGGCGCGTCGCTGGAGCTGAGCTGAAAGGTCACCCTGTGATGTCGTTGTCATTGCCCATTCTGCCCTGGCTCTGCATCGAACCCCCCTCGAAGACGGCGGCTCTCTGCACCGTTAAGACTGGCTCCTTGGTCGAGGTCACTCGACTGCGTCGAAAGGTGCGGAAGCGATCTCTATCAGATGAAGGCCCGATATATCCGACATGTGACATATCCCTTTGTCTGGCTGTTGTGAGTGTTACCAGTAGGAAATACGCCAACTCAAAACCGAGCTTTCAACGGGAATTCGATGTCCAAAAGGCGACAACAGCTCGATCTGACCAGAGAGGATGATGTAGAGAACATTGTCCTAGCGTTAGCGCACTTCCATTGCAAGGCAGCCCCATACAACCCAATCCATTCCATAGACTCGGGGATGCAATCCCGGTCCCCTTCTTGATTGCGGCCTTGAGCTTGAGGTTTGCTTTTGCCGTCTGAAGTGCCGGCAGCTCCCTCCGAAGAGGCCGTGACATCTGCTCTGCAGATCTCTGCAGCGGCTTCGGGGCCTTCGGGGCCCTTGGTTGGGGGGGCTCCCTTCCAGGCCGCTCCCTCCGAGGCTCCGCTTCGGCCAGCGAGGCGGCCTGGGGGGGGTTGCTTTTCCGACATCGCAGCATTTTCGCGTTTACACCGCCAGTCCCCTGCTAGAAATCAGGGCAAAAGAGTGCTTCAGAGATCTTCAGAGTGTTGAGGCTTCCAGCTCCGAGCTTGCCGGCCGCGCCGGAACCTTCGGAGTGCGTGGCAGGATCCGAGGCCCGATTGATTCTTCAAGCTTTCGCCAGCCATTGGGTTTTTGTTTGATGGTTCCTGTTTGACACCGGGCAAAACCACCGAGCGACTTTGGATAAGCCCTCGTCGGGCGGGGCAGGCTCGGCTGAGAGGAGAGCCCCTGTGCAGGCGCCCATTCAGAAGAAGAAGGAGCTTGAGGAAGGGTCTTTCTCGCCCAGATCCAGGCACCCATCTGATCATCCGATCCAGACCTAGACCAAGCTGAAAGATGTGCCTCTGGTGGTAGTTGTGCTTCTGGTGGTAGTCCAACTTTCTGTGCATTCCCGTGAACAAAGCGCCAGTGAAACCTCCGAGCAGCCGGCGCCCCTCGAGGATGTTAGGACTGCTTTTCCGATAAACCTTGGGGAAGCGATGTTCGAACCTGGGAGGGGCAGCCTTGTCAAGTTGAATGCCAATGCTTGTGACCCATGTTTCTCTTCAGGGCACTCTGGTCTTGGGCATTCCTATTCGCCTGTTTCTGCACAGGCGTCACCAGAAGGTCTTGGCTCGAAGTAGCCCAGCCTCTCTGAGGCCTTAGCCTTCCCTCGCCATGGCCGAAGTGAAGCCTTTGATCCCGGCGACTAGCCGGGACGTGCCTAAGCCAAAGCCCAGCCTTCTTAGCCGCCTCTCTGTAGGCCAGCCGTAGACTCGTAGATGTTGTCTCTCTACCCCAACGTGCAGCGTCGTCCCTCGCTGCCATCAATCCTGTCGGTGTTCGCACTGCAGTTCCAGGTGGAGAGGGCGCTGGGCGAGGATCCGTACATCGGCAAGCTCCGAAAGACGGTGCAGCAACTGTTTGGTGCCGAGACTCGGGCCACGCTTTTGCGAACACACCGTTTCCAAAGCAGATTCCAATGAAGTGCGCTTCGTGTCCAGAATGTCGCTGTCCTGTGTGGGCCATCAACTGCCCCCGAGGAGAGCAATCCGAAGTTTGCGGAGCACGCCGAGCATGCCTTCCGCGGAGCTTTTGCACTAGCTGCGTGACAACGATCTCGATGCTAGATTCTAGCGGGTCCCGGTTGGGTCAACAAGTAACAAACAGGCTTTGTCCCTGTTGATCGTGGCCATTTCTATTGTAATAGAGCGGCAAGTGCTTGGTCCTCCTGGCGCCATTGGTCTGTTGAAGCTTGAGAGCAATCAGGAATGCACAGCATGCAGAAATTCTCGAGCTACATGGCATGTGGAGCCTGCAAGCGGCAACGTTTTGCTGCATGTCAAGCCTCTGAGCACTAGAATTGGAAATGCTGCACTTATCACCAGCGGAGCAAGAGTCACAGCATCTGGAACCTGAGAACATGCTGCAGTTTGCAGCATGTGCAACTTGACAACAATCAGAAATGCCGCAAATTTTCCGCCGAAAGAATTGAGACCGAGTAGCGCTTGAATCTTGCCGCTACCTGAGGAAATGCTACCAACTGCTCCAAGTTCCAGCGTGCGCAGCCTGACAACAGCCGGAGAACATAACAGGATTTCACAGCACAACTGATTGTACAGGTTACACGGCAGGTGAGGCCTGAGCACAACCACTGCTGCAATTCTACAACCTGACCACATCCAGAACTGCTCAAGTTCCAGCCTGCCAGCAACCAATTACAGCGTAAGAGCGGCTGCGCATGCAGAAGCAGAAAACGGTGGAACCAGACATGATGCAATCAACTTACAGTATTTGGAGCCAAGAACCATGCAGGTGCAGCCAAAGAACAACCAGAAACGCTGCACTTGGGATGCAGTTTGAGCCAATCTTGCTCCAAAAGCAAGAATTCTCCAGTGTGAGGGAAAGAACACCTACTGCCCAAAGCAGCTCTATGTCGTTCATGAAGGTTTTCTTCGCCATTCCGATCATCATGCCGAACGAAGTGTGGTCATTCCGCGACAAGGCGACGGTGTCTGCACTCAGAGCTGCGTGCCAGTAGGCGGAGGCCAGCGCCAGCAGCGCCGAGGTGATGGAGCTTGGCGTCTACTCCAGTGGAGTCTGCATGCCACTGATCTGCACCTCGTTGTTCCACGTTCATGCAGCCAGGTGATATACATCCTGAAATACTTCATTCAATTCAAGCATCGTGGCCTTGCCTAGCAAGCGCCACAGTATACCTTAGTTACCATGCCGGAGGATGAACGTATCCACAGTCGATGCCGTCGACACCAGTTGTTCCCTGTAGCAACACTCGTCATAGCACTGACGAGGTTCATTGTTTTCAATCTCGGCGTCTCCTTCGGTCAGGCACGGGAATACTGTATAAATCGTCAGGATCAGCATCAGCCGGACCCGGAAGCAAGCCACAAGCGTATGGGCTCCGTGATGTTCTCATTGACCGTGCATCTGCTTTGGTCATAAGCCTTGCAGTCATGACAGCAGTACGCCCAGGAGGCTTCTTCAGATATGTGCAGCCAACATGCTGCAGCACAAGTTGCTGCACATGCTTTTGAGCATGATCGGGATATGCAGAAGTTGCACTCACCGCACTCACCGGCCGCTCCGGAGGCCTTCAACAGCTGCAAGTCTGGCCTGCAGGGTACTCTCGTGTCCTCCATGATGGGGTGGATCATGACTCTTGGCATATCTTGACATTTCGGAAAAGCCTTGTTGATTCGAATCCGACTTCGTGGTGTTTGACGTGCAGCGTGCGGATCGGACCGCGAGAGAGACCAGGTATACGCTATATCCTGGAGGTTATGAGGCCACCTCTCCAGAATATGTCTTTTATGGCGGAGTGGCGGCTGGCATCATCTACGTCAGCCTAGTGATGTCCTTGCGGCCTCTTGTTTGATTTGCCTGATTGAGGTGTCGATGCGATGTGTGTTCTTTTTGTCTGCGCGTGCGTGTGCACCTCCGTTGCATATGACGCCTAACTGAGGTGTGGCATCTCTCTGCAGATGTTCGCATTGTCCAACTTCGCATCCACTTGGATGGATTTCTTGAGCCTTAACTTAGCCATCGGCTTCTCATTCGTCATTATGAATGCATGTGCTAGAACTTTCCCAAGGAACGAAAAGCATGAAGCTACCATCATGCCCCCTTGGACACCGGGTTGGAGCATCCAGCAGGACTTTTGGCGGGCGTGGTGTGCAAGTCAGAGCTGTTCAGCTATGCTTGTGCCAGGACACGTTGACACAAAATTTTGTTTGAAACTTGGACGCAGCAGAATTAGACACGCGAGTTCTCACAGACTTTCCTCATGAGGTTGTCATTAAAAGTGCATTGAACACGACACGACATTTTTGGACTTACGGATCATTGGACACCCTTACCCAGCATTGCAGCGACACTGGTAGGCATCCGAGATACATTGCATTTACGGGGCTGGCTTTCGGGATCCATCGTGGACAGTTTCTCCACATGGACTCAGTCTGAAGAATGCTCATACTCGTCTTTGCTCTGCTCTACTAAACATCACGGAAGGTTTTCCGAGGTGCATCACTTTAGCGGCTCTCCAATTATGATGGGAAGTCCTCGCTTCGAGAATGTAGTGCCGCCCTCTCACATCGTTGTGGGAGCAGAGCGGCTTCTCCAACTCTTGCTGCCTGTCATCGCAAAGCATCTTTCCCACTCTCCCAATTCATCTGCAGCACCGCTCGAGTTTGCCTTATTCATGTGATCCCTGTGATCGTTGTGTCTTTCTGGCTGCGTGTCTGAGGTACAGGTCTGGGTATGGTGGCTGTGATGGTTGCCAGCCTTTTTCCATATCCACGCTGCTGGGAACATTTAGAGGTATGAGGTTTTCGAGTTGGCGCAGCCAAGCAGATTTCCCGGAAGCGTCACTTCGTGACTTTCCAGCATTTGGAGCGCAGATGAGTCAGATTGCAAAGGTTGGTCACTCATGTTCGTGACCGAGAGCCAGCTCCATGCGAACCTTCAAGTGGTCCAGGTGGTTGTCATCCAAGGAACATGTAAGTTCTGGACAGCCTGTGGTCTCCTGGTTCTGCCAGAGATCTGCGTAAGCAAGCCGTACTGGTAGCTTCATGCGTATCAGCGCTGTGAGCTCGACTATGAAGCAGCACGGGGAAGCTTGCCCTCACACGCCGCAGGTGCTGGATACGATTGTGAAGTATTACTCGAACGACAAGCCCAACGTCTACATCAAGGACCAGGTCATCCGCAGGCGTGGGCGGCGTGAGCGGCGTTTGACCGGGAGGTTCTGATATTGAGATTTTGTGACGCCAAGCCGTGAATAGGCGCAGGTGCTCTGAGGTGCTCTGATTGTTGGGTGCGCTGACTGGCGATAGCTATGAAGAGCATAGTGCAATATGCCTAGACCGGCTTGGCTTAGTCTTCATGCCTGTCGTAAGTCTGAGTGTGAACCCAGTACGAGTTGCTTCCGCTTCCTGTGCAATCGCACGTCTCCACTCAGGCTGACGAAAATGCGAAGCTCAGCAGGAAGTCTTCCAAGGGATCTGTTCTGAATTCTAGGACGCTTCGGGTTTGTCGCCTGTGACATTGGAGGTGTGATGCCTTCGCAAGCAGGGTGGTTCATGCGATTGAAGACTATGTGCAGACTAAGGAGGAATGCTGACGGAGAACGACTCCTTGCTGGCCGCGGCCTGGTGGGAGTGTTCCCGAGCAGCAAACACTTATACAGTTTTTAACGTGCTTGTGCTTGAGAGAGGAGGATGTCGAAGTCTGGAGCCACATGATGTTCGAGTTCTGTTGGGATTTGGCAGCTGCGAAAATTTCAGGCTATGGTTTGGGCCGATCTCAAGTCAAACGCCGCGTTCTGGCATCCATGGATAAGACTACAAAGACAATCAGTGATATGACGCTTGGCACAATTCGAGCTGAATGCCAACGCAGAGTGCTTATGCAAAAGGTTCCGCAGCCCATTTGCACCTCTCTGGGGCTTCTCTTCCCGTGGGCCTTCTTCCAAGGGTCATCAGGGTTCAGTTCACATAAACTCGAAGAGATCGCCGCGCCTCTTTCGGGGGTGTGCTTGTCACAAAGCGTCTCGGACAGTGCTAGCAAACACAATCTCGCTGTTTATGCAAGATCACTGAACTCCACTTCAACATATGATGGCCTCCGGTTCGTTGTGCCCATTACTTCATGAATGCAACGGTTGTGTTCGGTGCGGTTGCGGTTTTGGAACAGCGGTTCAGGTTCACGCGGTTAGATTTCTCCGCGGTTCCTGCGGTTCGGTTCGCGGTTCCAGGCAGTTCCTAAATTAAAATTCATGAACCCTTAACGAAACATCTCGTACACACATCCCAGATGGCGTTGCCGCCGCACGTGGCTCCGCGCACGCGCGGGAGTACACCTGTCTGAAGCTTCAGGCCCCAGTAGTCCCTAACCCGGATGCTCTTGACGCTCGCTTTTGGATGCTCCTTCACGCTGTTTATTGAACTAACCTGGCCAGAGGCCTGGCCAAACAAAACCCGGATGCTCTGGATACTCGATTAACCCGGAAGCCCCCGATGCTGGACGTTGAATGCTCTTGAATGCTGTCGTTCAGCCAGATCCAAGCGCGTTTCCGCCGGATTAAATGACAGAAGAATGGATTTCCTGGCAGAAGGGCAGAAGGTTCCATGCCTCTAACAAGGCAAGCTGGGATTCAACCTGACGGTTCGGTTCGGCAGGTTCGCGGTTCCTAAACCGGTATTCCGCGGTTCCAGTGGTTCCTGAGGAATCGGTTCGCGGTTCTGTTATGTTACTTGTTGTGAATTCGTAGGTGCCCTGCCCCAAGGATTTGGAACGCGTGGCAGGAGTCTATCTCCGAGGACGTCGGAGAGATGGATGCGAAGCTTATGCGTGCAGTGCAACTGGGACATGCATGTCGGCGATTTCCTAGCTCTCATGTTTTGACACGGCCAAGACTGAGAAGATGCATGGCCATCTCCACGCTGCCCGAAAGTTCCCTGCAAAACTAAGGAGGCCAAGCATTGAGGAAGTGTGGCTTGCTTTGCGATATCGGTGTCAGCATTGCTTCCCTCACAGGAAAAGTAGGATGACAGCAAGGAAGCATTTTTCTGCGATCGTCTTGGATGCAAGACTTGTTGTCTGGACCAGTCTTTGATTGCACGCAGGAGGGTTGCTAGTTTTCTTGCTATCTAGGTGTCATGCAACTGAGGCTGAAGTCGATGCAAGTCACCTTAAATTTGCTCGTCAAGGCATGCAATAGGAGGGCGGGATAGAAATCAAGTGCACACCATTTGCCGGTTTCATAGTGTGATGCAAGTGCTTGGACTGGGCCAGGCAGCCTCGGATGGTGAGTTGGATGATGCAGAGGTCAAAGCGCTGGAGCAACTTGGCTATGGTTGGCTGTGTCATGGCCGTGTGAGATTGAGCTTCCGGATGAGCCTGCCCTCAGCCTCAGGAACAGCTTCAAGGACTTGCAAGACAAAGACGAGGCGAGAAGCCAGCTCACCCCGGATTACCCCGGCTCCCCCAGGTCGTGAGAATTCTTGAAATTGAAGTGAGAGCAGAAGCTGTCATCAATCTGGAAGCGAAGGCTTAAACGACAATTCGCCGTCATAGCCCTCATCGATTTCTGCCAGGAGATGACCAAGTCTTTCGCTTCTGCGCGCAAGGACATCACAAAGGGGGAGGCCATGGCAATCTACAAGGACTTGGGCCTCTGGCTGTTCGGGACATTTGTTCGGTCGTTGCTTGTACCGCATCAGTTCAAAACGACTGAAACCAGCAAAGGTGCTGAGTCCACACCACTGCAGAAACTTACTTGCGGACATTAAACCGTTCGGTCTGTTCTTGATAAAATTGACATTTTTGCACACATGATGTTCACACCTCCGGAGAATCTCACCTGCCACCCACCTCCCAGCCCCGACTAAACCTGACTGCACCGCAACCTGCAGACCAGCTGGGATTCATGATCTTGCGTCGCACCTACGGAGAAGTGGAAGAGGTCGCAATATGTAATGAAGGAGCCAAGTTAAGTTGACAATGCCTTCAGTAGGATCTTGCGAACAAACACAGGCTGCAGCCTCAAAGGGTCAATGCGCCTTGAGCTTAGTCTCGACTCCCACTAGTCAGGTCAGTCCCACAGAGTGCACATCAAGCGCTTGTGAGCTGTCAGATCACTTCTAATTCTATTCGCTTCGATTTAACGCGGAGTTCGGCCGCAATCAAGATGCACGGTTGCTCGCACCTCTCGCCATCAAGGGCTTACCCCGGGCTCCCCAGGCCAGAAAGATTGCCGACGAAGTCAGAAAGCCAGTGCTCTTCCTTTCTTCTTTTCTTTGTGTGTTTCTTGAGCACCCATGGCCAAGCATAAACTCTGTACCACGGCATGGAAATTCATGAACTTATCCGGGGCTTGGGCACCTTTTCTTCTTGATCCTAGGAATTTCGTGCAAGAGAATCCGCTGCCCACTGAGTTTCTTTTGTCCGACAACAGTTCCTTAAACAAAGTCGGCATGTCATCCACTCAAATCTGCAACTGTTTCACAGTCTTCCGCAACATCCTGACAGCCCCCAGCGCGTCACCGCACTTTGACAGCCGAGTCCATAGCCGACGCCATGGGAAAAAGTCATATTTCTGGCTGGGTTTGTAGATTATCATTCGAGCAAGCATCGGTACCTCACGCAGCACCCTGACAGCACCCAAGTGTCATATCAACGTCCTGTTCAGACTGACGCACTCAAATCCAATAATTTGCGTCAAGCTTGTTTTAATTCTTCTCAGCATGACAGCACCCACAACACCCCTCCGACAACACCAGCACCTGCAGCGCTCTGCCGAGCATTCTGTGTAGCACAGAACCCCTCTCCCAAACTTGGTGTCGAAGAATCTTACCTTGGAAAAACTAAACTAGTCGACACATCGGCGACAATGTCCCTTACCTTGAGGTGCTCAGATCCAGAAAGTCGTCTCAACGTCTCTCCCCTCTCACCGAGCTGAACCTGCCTGGAGGATGTGCGCGTGGCGCAGGTCCTCCTCTTCAGCATCAGCCGCGTGGTGGCTCGGATTCGAAAAATGGGATTCCTGGCGACTGCTAGTCTCTTCCCAAAGTAACATTTTAATCAGTGCTGTTGAGCAAGAGTGAATCGTTCGGTCGATGTGGCCGTTCAACGTGTTCGGGATGGCTGAGGTGTCACAAACGGTCGAGCTGGCGGACAAGATCAAGCAGCAGAGCCTTGGATGTCAGTCGACTCCTTTCTGGTCGTTGCTTGTTGAACCCCCCGAAGCATTCAGCACGCTTGCAGATGCCAGCCAGATCTGAAGCAAGGCCCTCTGATCATGTGCGGGTCATCCTGAGTGCACCTGCGTCAGGGCACAGGGCTGCTTGTAGCTCAGTGACAGCACAGGATGTCGAAGAGCAATCTACTGCCGCCTGCACCAGAGATGGGCGGATGGTCAGCGCTCTTCGAGAACCTGCTGGAGAAGGCAGGAGGTCGGAAAAGCGCAGGTCTGAAAGCGTCGGCCTTCACAATCAGCTCTGGGGGAGTTCTGAGGGCAAGCTCAGACGGTTGACATTTTCGTTCCTCCTTCTCGAAGTAGGCATGGACACCCAAGCCTTCATGGTCCTCTCGCGATGTTGGCACTCAAGCCATGTCCATGTCCCAGACTCTGAATCTGCCTGACCTGTCAAGGACCACGTGATCTATGTGGCTAGAGGATTGCTGGCCTACCTCCTGGCCTTCCAGCTGGGTAACTTGGCATTGGTTTCTGGCGCTCTTGAAATCTTAGAGCTTGGCTGCAAGCTCCCTTTTTTTGCTGGCGCTCATGCCTAAGCTGTTTTCTTCTCGGCGCTATGTGAGGGGCATTGATGGATGGTCAGGGAACATAGCGGCCGTGTGAGATTGGCTGCTTCTCTTTTGAAGCTGCCGTCGTGGAAAATTTCAGATGCGGGGCCTGTCAAAGTCAACCCTAGCCACAGGTGTTCATCACCTGTGCTAACGGTTGCGTCGCTTGTGTCGCATCTGTCCGTCGTCTAGTTTGGGTACTGGTGTCCCGGACGTACATCTGCAAACTTTGTCGTCCCAGTCGCATAAGATCATTTCCCCAGCACGAGCGCAGCTCGAAGGCTGGCATGGCTGGGGGGGAATCGTTCCACGGCGAGCTGCTGCCGTCGCTGGAACTGCGCCATTCCTGATCACGATGCCACTTGTCTGAATGTGCACTAAATCCAAGTCAAAGTAAGACTCACCCGAGCAGTGGTTTGAAACCCTACCAGGTACGTGGGCTCTGCTATGGTTTCTGATCTCAACCGGATCCAGGGCCTCATGATCGGGCAAGTCATGGCGAGAGTGGTCCGTGGCCTTGTAGAGCCACGGCCGCAACCGAGACTAAACCTTATGTGTTTGTGGGGCATAAGCAGCGATCCTGATGTGTGCAACTCGTTGGAATGCTTGAAGACCTGTGTCAACACCTTTCGAACTTGCACCAGGGTGGCACACTGCTCAGTCAGGGAAAATCGCATGCCAAAGCAAAGCTGCCTCCGCAGGATAGTTGCTACCTTGATGACTTGATCGGCTTATGTCTGATTACGAAGCTTGGCTGCACAAGACCGCCGACTGCTCCGCGCACCCATCCTTTTTGACACCTGGGCAAGGTTCGTGTGGGTTTTCATCGGTGTCTTCGTGCGGGAACACTCCACCACGCTTCTTGTCAGAGAACACGGAAGCTCTCATAGTGGACTGCAGTTATTCAGCTTCAGAAGTGTCCAGAACGGTCGAGTCACAGCTTCCTGTTTTGGTTGTTCCTGCCTTCGGGCCAGTGTCACAGGATCACCCCCTGACTTAACAAAAGGGAAGCCCTCACACCGCAAAGGGTCGGAAGTGGCTGCCCGGCAAGGTTCTCGTCTGTGGGCGCCATGGCAGCCGCATTCGGCGGCACCACGCTGCTTGGTGGGAAGCGGGGACCAGTGGGGAGGGTGCTAGATCGATAAATTTTACGACCTGGGGTCGAGATTGAAACTCCTCCAGAACACTGTTCTGTGTGCCTGCCTGATTTGTGCAGATCTTAGTTTGGTAAGAGCTCGTCTGCCACACGTATGTTGCTGTTGCGTTATGTTATGTTATGTTATGTTATGTTAGGTTATGTCATGTTGTGTTATGTTGTGTTATGTTATGTTATGCTATGTGTGTAATGCATGTAATGTAAGTAAAGCGTGTAATGTATGTAATGTATGTAATGTACGTGTGTATGTGTGTTTTTGTGTATGTATGTATGTATGCATGCATGTATGCATGCATGCATGGATGGATGGATGGATGGATGTATGTATCTATGTATGTATTTATGTATGCATGTATGTATGTATGTATGTAGGTAGGTATGTATGTATGTATATGTGTACACATACATACATACATACATACCTACCTGCCTGCCTACCTACCTACCTACCTACATACATACATGCATCCATGCATACATATACACATGTATATGTATATGTATATGTATATGTATATGTTTATTTGTATGTATATGTACATATATATATGTATATATATATATATATGTATATGTATATGTGTATGTATATGTATATGTGTATGTGTATGTGTATGTGTATGTGCAGTGTATGTGTATGTGTGTGTATGTATGTACATATATGTATATGTATATGTGTATGTATATGTATATGTATGTATGTGTATGTTTATGTGTATGTGCAGTGTATGTGCAGTGTATGTGTATGTGTGTGTGTATGTATGTATGTATGTATGTATGTATGTATGTATGTATGTATGTATGTATGTATGTATGTATGTATGTATGTTTTTTGTTTTTTATGTATGTATTTAGGTATTTATGTCTGTCT